TTGTTGTCTGATCGAGACAAGGATTTTAAGATAATATTCATGACAGATGGCTGCAATAAAATGTATATGGATGTTGGAAGTTATAAGAACCTTTGGGATGAGAGTATATAATAAGTAATTTAAACCTTAGCATCAATTTTTGTTAGGATATATTGTTTTCATTAATAATACAAGCATATGATTATTACTGTGAAAATGTGGATAAGATTATTACTAAATGAATCTACAATCCCCATTTGGAATCTGTTCCTGATCTTACCTCACTGATCTAAAAGATGACAAAATACCTCAACAGGATATATAGAAAATATTGGTCAGGGTGAGGGAGATAAAGATTTTTTAAACCCTTTTGTATTATCACCCGATGATTGAAGTTTTTGATTAATGATTGATTTGAGTACTTGTCCTGAATATCCAATTCTTAGCTAGATAAATGGATGGGTGAAACTTGGATAAATTGTTTAAATTGGATTCAAATTAGTAATATTCAAGCAAGAAGCAATCAGCCTTTCTCCAAGGTGTCAATCAAAGTTTCGTTTGTTTGTGGTCATATTACCATCAATCTATGAAATTATTCATCGATTAAGGGGCCCCATTCTTTAGAATCCAAGTAAGTAACAAATGAGAATAATTATTGCCAGGTCAGTGCAATATGTACAATTTTGTCATAAATTGCATTGGGGACTTTTTAGTACTCACATTCAGAATCGGAGTTGTACATATATAAAGATAAATTCCTTCCAAAAATGGGAAAAAGATTAATACGAAATTGATATAAAGACTTTGAGTTCTTGCAATATTATACTATGAAAAATATATATAATTTGCATGATGCTTTCGTTGCCAAATAAGGAAAAATATCCTTTCTGAAGCAAATGAGTAGATTGCTTAAAGAGGGTTTTGTGCTATGGGCTACATGTTTTTAGAAGAGTGTAAACCTCAACCACTTGGATACATTATTTATCAGTCATCAGAAGAACATTAATGTGTCTCTTGAGTGAGCCTCTAAAGAGTTCCTTGGCTTCTTTACTCAATTATAGGCCTAAATATTCAAACCTTAATGCAAGGGAATATACATAATTAATGTCTGATTAGAGCAATTTTTGTCTGGCTGGCTCTCAAAGGGTATCTTTACAACTGTTAAAAGATGCTTTCCCCGTTCATTATTTTAAGTAACCAAACATGGGTTGCTAATTGATGTGGGACTCTAACTTCAGTAACATTTCACATTTGATGAGTTTGGTCACCGCAAACCATACATATAGTATATTTTTGTACAAATTTCATTCCATTTCTTGGTGTGAATATTGTAGTAAAATACAGCACAAGAAGTAACAGACTTTTTCATGTCTTTAAACATTGCCTGGAAAATGGTCCCCAGGAAATACATTAACTAGTTCAGTGGCTTTCAGGAATTCTTGGATTCTTATTGCATGAACTTATTCAGGAAAGCTCCAATTATTCAAACTGTAATAAGTTGGAGTTTACCATTCTTTCTCCAAACTTTTGTATTGCTTTCTCTTTCTTTCTTTCTTTCTTTCTCTTTTTCACACAATCATGCACACAAATCACAATCGTGTACCTGCGCAAAGAACCTTATCATTAGCTATGAGTCTAGCAAATGCCCCCACAACATGTATGAAAGATGAAGCTGACAATTGCAATATTTACTTATTCAACTGATTAATAATGGCAACCCATGGCAAAATGAAAATTAAATTCATCAGTTTAGTAGTTGTTTATGATTAAAGAACTTTCTTTAATATAGTAACCATATTTTTTTTCTCCAAAATAGTAGGATTTTCCCTTAAAAAATGAGGGATTTACTAAGCACTTAAAACTAAGAAATGATTTGTGTTGTTACATTGGTCAAAGTTTTCTTTCTCCAAGTACCCATCTTTTATTTTCGTTGAGATTGCTACATATAAATGTAGCATAGCTTGTTGAGCTCATAATAAACAATCTTCTTTGTTTTTAAAGGACAGATAAAATATATATAATTTAAGCTTTTTGGTGTACTTGCTTGTTTTTTAAAGGGAAAATAAGCCAATTGATTTGTATCTTCTGAATGTTTGTTTGCTGCAGATATAAGAACCGTCTAAGGTTTGCCAAATATTAACAATGTGAACTGCTTGCATTAATCTTTTATATATTGTTCTGTCTAGCAGTTCTCACTGGCCAGGCCAATCGTATCGTATGGAGAGTATAACAATTTTCATAAACAAATTGATATGGGCAGGTGCAGGTGACTGCGTCGACTCGTGGTTGTATTATGAAACATATACCATCTTTTTTATTTTTACCATATCATGATTGTAAGAGTATTAGCAGATTTAGAATTACTTCAATGCTAATTTGAATTTCAATATTAATTTATTGATTCTTGTTTCATGAACTTTTAAAGATTCATCTTTTATTTTATTATTTTTATTTGAATTTTTTAATATATAAAACAACTATTAAAATTGTCTTCAAATTTTCGTAATTCAAGTCTTAAGATTCTAGATGAATATCTAAGAATTAGTTAACAGGGAGCTTAGAGAGAATTTTTTATTAATATTCACAATCGCCTTTTTATATAGCTCATGTCTCAATCTTATTGGTAATAAGCCTCTAACAGGGCAAACATAGAATTTTTATATAAGAGTAATTAAGATTAATATTTTTTATTAATATTCACAATCGCCTTTTTATATAGTTCATGTCTCAATCTTATTGGTAATAAGCCTCTAACAGGGCAAACATAGAATTATATTAAAAATAGATATAAATTCAACTCATATTAATAATTAAATAATGTCTGCATAAATGTACTAATTAATGACTATGGATCCATTTGATCCAACCGATATTCCAACAATAGTTAACATATATATGAGAATTAGGGTTTCAAATAGCGGTTGTGTAACGACATTACGGTCGTTATTTCGTTGTTTCAGTAGCCTCTGCCACCGTTACATACCCAAAATTAGGTTGTGAACGAAATTCATAATCATAACGGCTGCTCGCGGCTGTAAAATAACAGTGTAGTGGACAATAGTGGTGGCCGCTATTGTTCGCTACACTGTTATTTTACGATCACAAGTAGCTGTTACAGCCGATCAATCTCGGCCGGATAGGGTGCTTCCTAACCCCAATAGATAAGTCCTTCTTTTTGTTCTGGATTTCAGAGAGATTTTGGCATGAGCTCATAGAAAAGCTCGGACTTCTCTCTTCATTTCTTCTTGTTTCCTTCTTGTTTCTTGAAAAGGAAAGTTGTGCCTATTGCAAAGCCCGTTTGTTCCTTTCTTTCTTTGTCAGGTCAAGGAGAATCACTTGGTTGGATTTTTTGCTTGCTTATTCCACTTCTTTCAGTGGGAGGATAGTGAGTTCGCCTTCCTTATTGTTGTTTTGTAGGATGCTATAGCCGCAATCATTATTTTCAGTTCAAAATGTAATTCGAAAATTTATTCTTTTTTAGTAGTTAAAGAATTTCATATAAAAAAACACATTTTGAACAAGAAAAACCTTTAAATTTATGATTTAATCAGTAAATACAAACCTCAATCAAGCTCAAAGAACACATTGTTGAAGTCAATCAATAATTATCTCAGACCTTGAAAGTTGAGAAGAAGCAAAATATTTTTTAATTGCTAAGACGGGAAGATGAAAGGCTTAGGTTCAATAGTAGCATCGTCAGTGGCTTGGGTTGAGGAATAAGACAAAGATAGTGTGGATGAAATTGAAAAAGGTCGGAAGATAGAGGAAGCATGTGATATGTCTGTCGATTTTTAAAGAAAGAGAGATTTAATCATTAAATTTGAAGAATGTACGAATATGGGAAAGGTTTGGTAGGTTTGAGTTCAGTTGAATCAAATCAACCAATCATAGTATTTTTATTTTCCTAGGTACGTGTGATATTTAAAAGTACATTGTATTTTGCTTTTTCTTATTTTAGGTGAAAATATGGAAGGGAAAAAACAAATGATTTGGTGAGAAATTGGATATTTTAGAAAAAAATTTTATTGATTTTGATGAAAATTTAAGAGGAATGTGAGCTATTAATTAGTGAATTTATTTTTATTTACCATCATTTTAAAGTAATTAGTAGTTTTTTAAATAATTTTAATATTATTAATGTTATTGTTAATTGTATATTTTTATTAGTTAATAAAGATTAGTTCGCTACTATTATATTATTTTGGTTTAATTTAATTATTTAAAATGTTGCATTTGAAAATTTAATCTAATTGTAAAGTATATTTATCCATAGTCAATCAAATAGTTTATCATCTTCCCCCAATAAACATATATTACAAAAATATCTAAAATATTCATCACTAATTTTTTAATTAAATTAATTATAATCTTTATTAACTTCATATAAGATATATTTTTTTTCATCGTATGTATTTATAATATTTATGACTTTGACATCATGCATATAATAAAGAAAAACATTTATAACATGCATTTTCATTCTGAATTATAACTACAAAACATGAAAAAAATTATTTTACTTTATAAATAAAAATTAAAATATCATAAATTATTTTAAAAATTATAAGTACTAATTTTTATTATTATAATTATAATTACTACATTTTATAATAAATTATGAAAAATTAAAAAAAAAATTCATGACTTTAATGATTGCAATGACTATAATGATCTTTATTATATATGCAATCACAATAAATACGACACGATAAAAAACGTATCCGTGATCGTAATTTGAATTCTTGATAAGAATACTCATAAAACAAATGGCTATGCAACCACGCAAGAGTAAAAAAAAAAAAAAAAAAGGGACAGAGATATATGGTTCGAAGAATTTCCAAAATTATTGAATTCTTCTTCTTCTTTTGTCATTTTATCAACTATAGCCTTGGTAGTTAATTACAATTAGAAACTCTCCCTAAACGAGAAAAACACATAATTAATTAATTAATTCCACCCCTTAATCAGGTATTGAGGGTGGGATTCAAATATCTTGTGTATTTCTAATCAAATTTAGCAAATCATGGTGCATGTTCTCCTTGTGACAGTTTTTTCCAGTCCACCAAACGTCGCAAAAATTCCTTTACCTGTAAAATTATGGTAAGAAATATTTTTCTTAATGTTAGTACAAAATTAATGGTTAAAAATAACAAAAACAATTGTTATCAGAATTAATAAAGAAAATTGCATGCATGGTAAGATTAGTAATGTTGCTTGCCTCAGATGGTTCTTGGAGAGAATAGGAAGCATTTGTATCCTTGGGTTCTTTGGAAACAAGAATCCCAAACCCTTGTCCTCTATCACTTAAAACCTGGTCATAAAGCCAGACAAAAAATGTGTTCAAATTGACTTGAAACTCAGTTACAGAACAAACTTTTGCAGTACATGTGTTTATTATAATTAGATACCTTAAAGGCATCTTCATCGGTTCGATCGTCGCCAATGTAGACAGGCAAAACGTCATTTGAATTGGCAAATCCTAAACAGATAGAAATCAACAAAAGTAAAATTAGTACCATTAGTAGAAATAAAATAGCCATAAATGTATAGAAATTGAGTAAATCAGAATCACCTAGTGCCTCCAACAAAAATTCCAGGGCTCTTCCTTTGTCCCATTTGATGGTCGGACGGATCTCCAATACCTGCTTGAATCAAATCATAAAAATCAATGAAAAATGGGAAAGGGAAAAGGGGAAGAGAAAGAAATAGAAAGAGGAATTAAAACTATACCTTCCTTCCTTGACTAAGTTTAAGCTTAGGGTAGTCATTGAGCACTGATCTTACTTGCTCAGCTAATGCAGCCCAACTCTGCCAAAGGCGGGAAATCAGTGAGATTATTAGCATTGAAATTTCCGGAGGGGAAGAAAAAGACAAGAGTGGCTTTGAGTTGTACCTTTTCATCAACACAGCGAAAGTGTACGGAGACACAAAACTTGTTATTTTCCACCTTGGCTCCTGGAATGCATTTTGTTTTCTCTACCAAGGTTTTGTGCACCTGAGAGTTTTTTTTTTTTTTTTTAGTTTAAAATTTTTATATTTCCTGAATATATATGCATTGTTTCTTTGTCGTTTCTTTTTACTTTGTGAAATCAAGAAGATGGTGGGAGACAACAAACCTCATCAATCATGGGCAAGAATTCACTGGCAGGTTGGAAAAGGACTCCCTGGTTACCCTGAATAACACAAAAGTTGACAGTAAAAATGAAAATTATAAACCAGCCAAGGAAAGAAAACAAAACAAATAAAGAAAAAGGGGTTTATTACTGATGAAGGAAAAGGGAAAAGAAAAAAAGAGTACAATTTATAGATGAAATTGCTCAAGTACACTGATGTTCTTACTTTCTTGTATTTGCAACTTTTGGATGGTCCCTTGATGTCCATACCATGGCTACCAGCATAATAAAGGTCAGCTAATTTTACAAAGCTGTAAACCTGTTGAACACACCATGAAAATCAATCAAAAATTTTTACTTCAAAAATTTGTAATAATCAATTATGATAATAGTACGATTTTCACTGGAGAAAAAATGTACCTTGTCTCGGCACCTTCCGGTCACTATAGCTGTTGGAAAATATCTTGCGACATCTCTTACAGCTGCTCTCATCTGATTAGAGACGAAGAAGTTTTGCCAACGAGAATGAATTAGTAGGAGTTTTGAGTAACTCAGAGGCAGCTGATGAACAGTAGTGGAATAAGAACAAACCTCTCTTGACATGAAAGCTTGATCCGGGTCTTCAACGATTGGAGACAGTGTGCCATCATAATCAAGAAACATCACAATCTGTTTTCCTTCTGAAGCAGCCACTATTTGCTCAAACATGCTCAAAGCTGAGGGATGGTGAACCTGTTTCAGTAATAGACAACAAAACAAAAAAAAACAAAAAGGGGTTCATCAATGCTAATCAAAACGATATAATAACATCAGCTGAAGAACTGAGAAGTAATAAATATTGATGGAGAAATGGAACCTACAATCCAGGAACTTTTCTCATCAGTTTCAGGTATGAAAGCAGTAGACTTGATATGGGTAGGTGAAGAAGCTCTCATAGAATCCACCCAGGCATTGATTTTAGCTCCTCCTTTCTCAGTATCAAACCACTTCTTCCTTAGCATCTTAAGGTCTTGTGGAAAGGACTTTGCCACTGGCAGAGATAATGGAGGCATCACATTCCTAACGCCAAGCGATTTCACATCAACAATCGCCACATTTTGTTGGTTAGTCATTCTTCTTACTCTTCTTGCTTATCGTCTATATAATTTCAAAATCCAAAATCAAAACTTCAGAACCAGATAGGCAAAAACATTAAAATCTTATACTACATCTAGTTGTCAAAGAAACATCAAACTAATTTTCAATGTCTAGCCTCGATACCTGAACAGAGTAGAGAACAAAACAGAGGAGAAAAAACAGAGAAGATGGCAATGTGAGATCTTAGGTGTATGGAAAAACAGCAAGGGGCAGGTTTTTAAATAAGCAAAGGGCTTGAGAGAGAGAGAGAGAGAGAAAGGTATAAAAATGCTCAAAAGAAAGGGTAAAAATCACAGGAGCGCACTAACACTCAACAAGTCACAGAAAAACTGGGGTTGTCTAGTCAATTTATAAACTTGGTTTCCCGGTAATAAGCAACGAAATAGCCATAACTTTCCTAGCCACCTGTACGTTTCTACCCCAACGATTTCCCCCACCCCTTCCTCCCTTCTTTTTTTTTCCTTTGAATTAAGGGACTATTGATCTGATCCCAATGAATATTTCCCACTCCCTATTGAATAAAAAAGGGTTTTTTTTTTTTTTAACAGCAACTTGTCGTGTTGGGAGATGATAAAAATTATACTTTAAACTCATTATTGTTAAGATTTGGAATAAACTAATAATCCAGCATTGATCAGCAGAATCTAAGGATTAAACTGTCGTATTCCATTTCAAGGGTACTACTTGTTTTTATATGATAAAAATCTTTGGTAAGTACATGGTTTTGCCATGTTCAAAGCCTGGTAAAAAAAAAGGGTAAATTGTGGGGGGTTTTGATAGCGGTCAATGCAATTTCCATTTATATGTAAGCATCGGAAAAGACTCAATCAAGCACTTAACTCATCATTAAAATGGTGAAGGAACACTTGGGAAGTCCCACGTCGTTATTTGTAAATTTGATTGTTTTGGGGTTTGACAGAGAGATTGGAGAGTAATATGTTTGACAAAGTTGTTATTTCTGGGTTTTAAAAAAAAAAAAAAAAAAAACAATTTGCTTCATTGTTTCCTGCTACGTATGAATCCAACAAGCTTTTTGTGGTCTAGCAAATTAAAATATTATAGTAGTATTTGATATTAGGCATGCATATTTCATGGTTAGACAATTTGGCATAAAGTTTAGTAAAATGACATGAAGGAAAAGTGAGTTCGTCAAGCGAATTATAATTAAAGGGTAATTAGAGGATTAGAAAAGTCTAAGAAATTAACCACAAGGATCAATCCAATTAATAAAGACAAACACTAGTTTTTTTTGGTTAAATGAGATTCAATCTTTATGAAAAATATTTCAAAACTTAAATTCTAAATTACTAAACTAATATGAAAAATGAGTCCTCAAAATAATTCAAGAAAAAAATTAAACCCAAATGAAATTGAAAGATTCTCTAACCTACATGGATTTTCTTTTTTTTTTTTTTTTTTCAAGTTATGTTTCTTATTTGTAACCATAAGAAAGATCGAGGGTCAAACAACAATTTATACCATAAATTTTCTTATGGCTAGGGAGCGATATTGGTGCATGCGTGTTGGGACTAGTTACATGAATTATAGATACATATATAAAATTCATTTCAATTTCTAGTTTGCACGGAAAATTTAAACTGTTATAATAATCATCGATCATTTTATTTTGTAATTCCATTATTATTGTTATAGTTCCTATCGAAGCCCATAAAAATTTAGATGAACTCTTCGTTCAAAACAACCCCCTTTAAAACTTAATTTCTAATGAATTCTTTTTCTTCTTTGTTCCAATGATAAACTAGTTAAGATGACAGGATACCGATTCATCTGTTTGCAATAACTCTTGTAGCTACATAGCATGCAGTCATTCCTTTTCCTTTTTACCAAGGCGGCGTTTTGAGAAAAAATATATATATAAATGTTAAAATTTAAACTTTAGATCAATGATACTCCATCTTAAAGGCGTGGGCATTATCAGTTGACGTAACACTGAAGGCTAATAGCCGAATCCTTTGCATTAACCTCTCAACAGCTAATTGCTAATTAATTTGTTAGTTAATTAATTTAAGTTATAATTATAATCATATAATTAATTATTACACCATTAAATAATTAATTAACAAACTAGAACTTAACTAAATAAATAAACTCACACATTGTAAAACTTGAATCTAGGATTTTAGGGTTTTAAAACCTCCTCTCGGCCACTAAATTAAAACCTCATTAACTGTTTTTTGTATTTTGTTAAATGTCTTTTATTTTCAATTTATTTTTTATTTTATTGCATATCACTTCTACCGGAAAAAAAAAATAAAATAAAAAAACAAATAGCAAAAGTATGAACCAAATAAAGCCTACAGTGTTTGGTATGAGCTATCGTTTTAAAGTGAATTCTATGGATTATTTTGTACCGGTTTCTTCCAACATCTGAAGCAATCACGAAATTAAGTTAAAATTGGGTCAAAATTTTTTTGGGAAAAAAAAGTTGTTCTTGACTTTTTTTTTTCTTATTTCTAATAATGAAGCTGAAATTTCAACATATAGACAGAGTCTGGAAAGGAGTTGCATTTAAAATTTTATAGCTAAATTCAACAGAACTTTTAAATAACTCTAGGAAAGAATTAATGTATTCATATAGAATGGAACGAATTTTTATGATTGCGTGAAGACTGGTTTATTAAAGAGTGTTGAATAATTCCAACTATAATTGTCTAATCGCACTTTTCTTACTATACTACAAATCTAAGTTTCTACTTGATGAAATAGTCAACCCCACAATTTTACTTCTGCCTCCAAAGTCTCTCTTTCGTTATTGACATTAATTGAAGAAAAAGGAAGAAGAATATTACCATGAGTTTCCAAGCAACTGTCAATGAAGCGTTTTTAGACTATTCTTTTAAATTCATGCCATATGGTAAAAAAAAAAAAAAAAAAAAAGCTTTGATATCTCTTTCTCTTTCTTTTAAACAACATGATAGTAAAAAAATTGTATATGCATTCATCAAGTATACATCAGTATAAATGAATACTAGCTATATTATATGTACAAGTAAAAAATTACAAATATTCTAATTTTGATATAAATTTGTATTCACAATAATTTTCACTTGAGTCAAACCATATGCATTCGAAACCTGATAGTCTCTTGAATGCAACTTTTCACTCTTTTATTCTTTTCATATCTTTTCTTTATTATTTATTTTATAATGATGGTACAACTTCATGCATTATTGGGCATTCTACAATGAACCAAAAAAAGTACTAAACGTAAAAAATTCAGCCAAAAATGGCACTTTCATTCACCATCGCCCCCTGTAAAGGTCACTGAAACTAGCAGCTCCAACCTGCCTAACCTCTTATTATGCAGTTTGAAGCAAAACCAGCGGCGTTTTTGTCTCATAATCTTTACATAATTAAGCCCTTCTATTTTCTCTGCATTAGGTTTTAGTGATTCAGCTTTTCCTTAGCATAGCCTTTTTTTTTTTTATTGGTTTGATAGTGAAAACTTAATTTTCGTGAGGATTTTCCTTGATAACCCAAATCATTTTATTTAACCATTATTTGAAAATCCAACCTTTTGTCATATGTATACAAAGCTTTTTGAAGCACAAAAGAAAATCATTTTCAAATTTCAATCCGTGAAGGTTCAGGAAATTTCAATCCCTTTCTGTTCCATTAGTTCATGATTATGTTTGCAAGCAATGGTTGCGCGACAAAGAAAAATATGCTTGAAGTTTCCATCCATTTTCATAGAAATTTCTTTTAATCACTTTTCCTGTACTATATTTTATAATAAATATGCCTCTAACGAATAGATTATGACCGAAAAAGTATCTAGATCATCTCATAAGGTACAGGCGTAATTAAAATTGAAACTGTCTAAATACAGACACCACCGATATCGCCCACAAACAAAGATCTTAGTGATCATATGTTTAGACAGACCGGGAAAGTTCCAAAGAAATTAAGTAACCGACTTCCAACTCCATTAGAGACCTGATGAAGTTCCACTTTATTATTTAGTCTTTACGCTAATTTATTCTCGGAGACAAGTCATTTTATTAAGTAAGGAAAAGCAACCAGATTCGTTTTTGCAGTAAACAAGTTGTATGGCATGCTTTGAAATTGCATGCATGCTTGTATATAGTTTCTAGATCGGCTTTCAAATTTCTTCGCACATTAAAAATTTATGACTTTTCTGTTGCGTTTTATTTCTACTGTTTGATTTCCTACAAATAGTCAAAACCGGAGGCCTTGGATCGAAGATGCCAGGAAGCTACCCCCCATGTGACAATGAAGGTTTAAATTTCAAAATTCGGGAAGATTGTCAAAAAGAGAGAGTTAGGCAAACCAAAGTTAGATTTATTAAAGAGAGATCCTGAAGAAATATTTTGATTGATTCAGGCCCCCGAAGAACCAAACATTTTAATTTGGAATAACTTTCTGATTAAGAAAGTTTCTTTCTTGTAGTGCAAATAATTGTTGTAAGTTCATTTTCCCTTGTCTAATTCATTTCTAGAACTAGTTTTCTTGCTTGCCCAATGAAATGGAACGAATCTCTTCAGATAGTCGTCATGTCTCTCCTCATAAATTGAGAAACGTGCATGCATGATGAACTTGTGGTATAAGATTCATGGACTGGCTCATGGTTTGCGAAGGAATCAGCATTCAAGAATGCCCCAGAATATAGTTTTGCAACTTGTGTTAACGTTGTAAACAAGTGTTTCTCAGAATATAAGAAAGCCGAATCGTTGGACGAATTATTTTTCTGCCATTTCATGCATCATTCTTATTAAACAATTGTACAATCTAAATTTGACTTGACTTATATAAATAAACTGTGATTAACAAGTTTTAAACGTATAATTTATCAAAAGACAATTTTAAGTATTCTTCTTTTTTTTTTTTACTTTATAATTAAAAAATAGAGAAAGAATAGAAAGAAAGATTAAAAGAAGGAGCAAAGATCAGTCAACAACAATTTGTTTGAAACTTGACTAAGAAATACATGAACAGCATTAAAATTGTAGTAATTACTGTAGCCGCATGAGTTTACTTTTGTGCTTGACGTCTCTAGTGGTTAATTAGTGGTGGGATTCAGAGTCGGATTCATTTTTTTACATTTGAGACTGGAAAAAATTATACCTTAATTATTGAAATGTTGAAATGCTTCATTTAATTTCTTTGACTTCTAATTTTTTTTTTTACAAAGGATGCCATAGTCTAGGGATATAAGAAAAGAAGTTGCAAATACTAAAATTTAAATTTCAAATTTGTTAAATATCATTTTTTAATAATAATTATATAAATCAATTGAATTAATTTTAAATTCATGAAAAATATAATGTTGATTGATATATAATGTTATGACTTGCCTGATGATCTGCATGAAAAATCATTGTAAGAATTATAAAGAAACCATTACATTAAAATTGAA